TCACTCACTCACTGCCTCAGTGCCTGTGGATCCAGCATTAACAGAGCTTTTCAGGTGAGTGGAATTGAAAAACCGCTCTGCTGCACCAACACACACACACACACACACTTACATGTTGTGTGAACTGCTGTGACAGAGACAGTCAACCTCTGGTTCAGGTGTCGTCTTCTCTCTCTGACTGACCAACTGTCTTGACCTCTGACCTCTGACCTCTGTCTGTTCCAACTGAAGGATTCTGTTTAGTCTCGTGCGAGCGCTGATATTTTTTTTTTAGCATGATTTTTAGCCAATTATCTCGGCTCCCGCAGATTTACACTTCCTGGCGGGTGAGTCGTGTGGGAGGAAGGAGGGAGACAGCTGGATGTTGAATGTTAAGGTCTGACCAAAGTTTATTTATCATGACATCATCAAACTACCAGTGTTATTAATTGGCTTGAAGTTGATAAAAAAACACAATCACGATTAATTGTGATCGTAATCCCAGCTAAAAAAAACGGAGAGAAAAACTTTGTCATAGCCTTGATGATATTGATATTTTTAAGATGGATTTTCAAAATAAGAGTCTGAAAGACGTATTATTTTGAAATATCTCCAAATTAGCTTTAAATGAAGAAGGTAAATAAAAACGATTAAAGATTCTCTTTAAATCGCTGCGACACAGAACCAGATGATCCACGGACCAGCACTGGTTATGTTGTGGATATATATATATTTATATATATATGGCAAAACTGTATTAAAAATGAAAAAGAAAAGAAAAAAATATATACACATATGTGTGTATATAAATAGATATAAATTTAAATATATAGATATATATCACATCACTGTAATACATATGAAAAAGAAAAAATATATATACATATGTGTTTATAAATAAATATATATTCAAATCTACATATATTTATATATATATCACAAAACTGCATTAAATATGAAAAAGAAAAACAAATATATATACATATGTGTGTATAAATAAATATATATATATCACAAAACTTTAATAAAGATGAATATACTTTGTATATATTTATCTATATATGTATGTATGTGTTGCAAGGCATCACTCACTAGCCTAGGGGTGAATTCACTGGAGGTATCAGTGGTATCTAATTGGTCCACTGTATGAATATATATTTATATGTATATTTATTTATATATTTACATATGTGTTTCTAATTTGTCATTATTTTTTGAATTGGACATAAAAGTCAATGGATGATATAAGAAATATAATCAAATCTCCCTCCCTCCTCTCCTTCCCTCCCCCT